CACACACACACACACACACACACACACACACACACACACACACGTCTACGCAATAACCTATGCAGGATAAATTGTTTACATTGACAACCTGCCCCTTCTGAAGTGTGAATGACACGTCGATTCAATAGACCTCGTTGTTTGGGGCTTCAGACCAAAGAGGATGAATACATACTGTATGACTGTATGCATGCATTACTTTTCAGTGTTTCATTTTTCCAGGATTATTTGAAACAAATCCATCTGCATTTAACTTCCCTAATCTGAAGTAAAATTTGTAGAATTGTTGATTATAATCAAATTAAAACACCTAACAAATTCCAGGGTGTAAGTTAGCAAAATAAAGAATACCAAGGGGATAATTGATTTTTTTTTCTTCACGGAAATGCTTTGTTTCAGGTCTGAAACATGTAAGACCAAAGGGTGACACTTTTCTGGAGGGTGAGAGGGGTGGGGGTCATGGTGTTGCACAATCATAGTAAGACACTTTAACATGTTTGTGAATGAAACAAAATAGCAGGAAATTTTAAACGCCAAATAAGTCTTATAAATGACAGTTAAATGTTCTTACACAGGCTCCATGCTGGACACGATGAAGGAAAAGGAAGAAAAACGTGTCAAAAACAGACAGAGGGCTGAGACACTTCCTGGCCTGTTGTCTGATTTATGTCATGCAGGTGAATAAATCTTTCACCTCTGTCACCCTCTACTGGTGTTCACACATGTTCAAACACATGAAGGGTGAACAGGATTATGAGTCTGAAACTTTTATAAAAAATATATATTCTATTCTGCTTGTTTACGTTTTATACAATAAATTAGTCTTCCCTTAAATGGTTTTTCACAGTGAAATTCTTTTCTGACGTTTGTTAAACTGTGAGATGTAATCATGAAGCTGTGAACTGTATGCAGCGCTGCAACAGAGTGAGCACCAGTGAGAGGTCCACACCTCTCTGGTCTATTTAAAAGTGGGGAAGGAATTCAGGAAAGGTTGCTGGAGATCTTCTTCAACAGGCATCCCAGACTCGCCGTCTCCCTTTTCCTGCTCTGCACTCTCTGCTCAGGCAGCCTGTTCACATCTTTCTGCCAACCTGAAGGACCCGGGGGTCTTTGTGATGTCTACTTGACAAGCAGTCCAACACACACACACAAGTTTGTCCTTACTTATTAGGACTGTTCATTGACTTCTATTCAATTGTTTTTATAACCTAACCAAAACCCTTTACCCTAAACCTAGCATTCCCGACCCATGCCTGACCCTGTGTACACCACAAAAAAATGCTAAAAAGGTGACAAATACAAGTACTCCGGTCTCCCCCACCCCACAAAAACATGTACAATAGGTTGCCTTCAGGCCCAGGCCTCCCTTGAAAAAGAGATCTGAGATCTCAATGGGACTTGCCTGGTTTAATAACGGTACATAAAATAAATACAAGTACACACACACATGTTTGTTCTTCTATCCTCATGGGTATTTTGCACTGACTTCCATTCATTTACCATCCATTTCTATAGCCTAACCCTGACCCCCTTTAACCTAATCTCACAGGTACATACCTGACCCTAAACCTAACCTTAATTCAGTTCTGTCATGTTTAAACGAAGGAATGAACTCAGATCTGGACGGAGCATGAATGTTTAACTAAAAGATTTATTTTACTAACAAAATAAAAAGCTGTCAGTGTAGCTAAATAAATAATAAAGAACACAGAGGGGGAAAAAAACAAGACAGAGGGTAATACCATACAATGAACCAACCATGAATGAACCAAAGAGAAGAGTTTTTAAGCAAACAGAGGGAGGAGGATAATGAACAGCAGCTGGGGAGCACTGACTGGGAAAATGCTGACAGGTGAGAGAGATAATTAGACAGGGAAGCAGCAGGGGATAGACTGAGGAGAATGTGAGGGCACACAAGAGGAAGGTAACAAAGAACAACAAAAAAAACACACCTTCTCTGCACATCTTCTGTTGTTTGCCAACCACCATAAAACACCACACAAGAAGAAGAAGAACACACATTCTCACACATTCACACCTTGGACCTAAGCTGAGCCTCTGACCCACCAACGTTTCCCCCCGATGGGGACCGGGATGATGAGGAACAGTGGGTCCTCACCAGGCTGTGAGTCCTAGGAAAATGGTCAAAAATTGTCCCCACCAGGTAGCAAAAAACATGGACACACACAAACACACACACACACGAACACACATACTATGTCTCTCCATACTTGTTGGGACTTTCCTTTGACTTCCATTC